AACAATAAGAACATAGAAAAGGAATTAGCGCTTAAGGTTGCTAATATCCTGCACGATAGCGAGCTAGATAATCTAGGTCTTTAAATCAAAGATAGATTGTACCTAGAAGAGCAGCAAACTGATAAGGTTAGGAGGGACACTAAGAGCAATCTTAGAGGTAAACTAAGTGCACAAACTAATCAGACAGCTAGCTAACTAAACGATTAGAGAGTTATGCAGGAAGAAACTGCGCAAGACGATAGCATAGCTAGCAATCAACTAAGAATTCGCGCAGGACCTCTAAAAGATTAAAATCAGCTTGCAACCCTAGAATCTACACCTAAGCTAGGTGATATAGAGGGAAACTTAGAGCTTAAGGCTTAAAGTATAGGAGGAGACAGCTAACAGCAGATGCATCTAGCTAGTAGAGCTAGCCCGTCTTGCTCTAGTAATTAGATTAGATTACAGAGAGCAACACCGCAGCGTGTTACCTGCTCTGCTACTTAACCTAGAGGACTTAACTCAAACACTCTAGACGAAGCAGATAAGTTGCTTATTTAAGCACGCTGGCAATTGCAGCAAACGACTACTCCTAATCTAGGTGCAACAGAGCTATAAGCTCTGCGCACTTAGAGAATGAGCCGGAGGCAATAAGGCAAAGCGCTAGAAAATGATCAAAGAACAAGTACCTACCTGCTGTTACGCAGAAGAAGAAGAGATAGCGATTAAGACGACTAGATAAGGGGTGCAGGTACTAGAGTACATGCACTAATCGCCGATCTAGATAACAATGATAGTTTATAAGCTGACTTTCAGAATACCTTCTTGCTAGGCGCAAGAAGAGCGTAGGACGATTAAAAGAGTTATAAATCTATAAACGCTGTGATTATAGCAGCTACTCTAACTGATTAAATACTAAAGTTAACCCGACTGTATTAAAACGAGCTTCCAGACCTACCTAAGACTTAGAAACAATTTCTCTAATACAAACACAAGGTGTAGTTTGAAGCTGCAATAAGACAAGAGATTAAACAGCTTCGCAAGAAAGATACCTAGACAATTCAGCTAATAAGCGAAGCAATGATCCGACTAATCCTGTTGAAGTAGGTTTAGACCTATAAGTTCGATTAAGACAGTATGCTGCTTAAGTGTAAAGCACGTATAGTTATACGAGAAGATCTTCAAGAAAAAGACTTGCTCGATTCAACCTACGCTGCTACCTTAGCAGCAAGATCGTTTTAAGCAGCAATAGCTATAGCTGCCTACTTTAATCTGGAAGTCATGCAAAATGACGTAACAGGAGCATTCCTTAATGCAACGATTACAAAGGAGAACCCTGTGCTGTGTGAGCTTCCTAACGGTTTTAAGGAACCTAGAATATGCGTTAGGCTTAATTAAGCACTTTACAGTATGAGAGACTTACCACTGCTGTAGTATAAGGAGTTCTTAAGAACACTCTAATTATTAGGCCTTATCTCATCAAAAGAAGAACCCTGCCTCTTCTTTAACAAAGACAAGAAAGTTCTAATACTTTTCTACGTTAATGATATCCTTTTGCTGTATCATAAGGCTTACGAAGCTTTTGCAAAAGACCTATAGATTAAGATTACTACGAAGTATAAGATATAAGAACAAGGGCCAGCAGAGTAGTTCTTAGGCATAAGGATCGTTAGAAACTGAGAAAAGAGAACGATCACGCTGGTTTATGATACCTACATTAAGAAGATTGCAAAGAAGTTTAACTTAATTAATAGAACCTTTCCAGCTACTCCTCTACCGTCAGAAGAGCTTAAAAAGTTTAAGAGAGAAGCTACTAAGCAAGAAGTCAAGCTTTACTAGGAAAAGGTCAGATTAGCATTGTACACTGCGATAATGCTGCGCCTAGACGTAGCTTTTGCAGTATTAAAGCTATTACACTACCTAACTAATCCTAGCTAAACGCACATAAGCATAATCGATCGAGTTATTATGTACCTGTATTATATACGATAGAAAGCGATCTAATACGGCAATTATAATAGTCCTAACCTTATAATATATAGAGACGCATTATTTGCAGACGACTCAATCACCCGGCGCTCATCTTATAGATATATAGCTATGCTCTTTAGAGGAGCTATCCTATAGAAAGCTGCTCAGCAAAGTACAGTAACGACCTCTATAACTAAGGCTAAGCTTATTGCACTTGAGCATATTGCGAAGGAAACTATTGCCTTAAAAAGGTTCTTTAACGAACTCACATTTAATCTAGGCGATTTATAGAAGATCTAGTGTGATAACTAGCAAACAATCAGACTTATTATTAGTCAAAATGAGCGAATTACTACCTATCTTCAACATGTCGACATACAAAACATATAGCTTAGATAAGAACACGCAAAAGGGTCATTCTTAGTAGAGTACTTGCTAACAAAGGAAATGCTAGCAGATAGACTAACTAAAGCTCTTACCTATCAACAATTCGATCACTTTAAGCAGCTTTTAAACCTTAAGGACATAGTTAGATTAGTCATAGTTAATAGCAACAAGGTATAATAGCATCAGTTTAATTACTATCAGAAAGAGCCTTTAAGACTAAGAAAGCTTAAGCAGAGCAAAAAAGAGGCCTTTTTAACTGCCTGCTACCCTAGAAAGATCGTTCAATCTAGCACATCTATATAAGAAGTAAGGAGAACTACGCCTAAAGCGTTAAGAAAGAAAAAGTTTGCTTAATAGCAAGAAGATCGAACTAAGACACTCAGTCCAGAAGGTCTAAAGCTATCTGCATAAGACGCATTAAATCCTCTATAATATAAAGCACAGAAGCACGACGCTTATTACGATTAAGTTAAGCTAAGGTGTAGTATCGCTTACGAACATCTAGAGCAAGGGCAAGAGAATCCTAAGGAACTCTACGACGATTAAGACGCCTCTCTTGCCTCACTATCTTATCCTTAAACGAAACAAAAGAGACGACGTCACCCTAGTTAAAGTAACGCGCCTCTTCATTATCTAATAGATAGCGATTAGCGTAGCTCTGACTAGGGCGATCTACTAAATTTGCGATAGGGAAAAGGTTAGCGTTAGGGTTAGTTATATAAGGAAGCTTAAAGGAGAACAGATTAGGCTATAGAGTAGCAGGACTAGATAGCGCAACCTTCTTACTACTAGTCAAAGAGGTAGCAGCACTACTGCAGTTAGCTTAATCGCCACCACTAAACTTAGAGGCAGGAAGAGTAAGCGCTAGTTAACCGTTACGAGCATCTTAACCCTAGGCAGCAGCAGTAAGCTGACAATTCAACTTAACTAATCCGGAAACTTAAGGATTGGCATCAGAAGGCCGCCGAGACTGCTAAGAAGTTTAGGAAGAAGGGCGAATTAGACCTTGCCTAGTCTCTCTAAAGGCAGGACGCTTTAATCGATCTTCACGAGGCTTCGCCGCAGTACCAGTCTTAATAGACTTAATTACAGCAGGTTAAGGAACGTCCTTTAGACGCGCCTCTTAATTAGCCTTCTCCTTCGCGAGGCGCGCCTCTCGTTTAATAAGAAGCTTCTTCGAGCGCGCCGCTGCATCAGCTTTAGCCTTCTTAATCTTCTTAAGACTAGATCGAGTCTTAGCAGCACGCCTATTAAGCTCCTTTGCCTAAGCTTCTAATCTCAATAACTCGAGATTAGCCTCACTGTTACCAATCGTCATCACCGGATCAGAGCCAGTCAGATTAATAGTGCCCTGTCTAGTGTTGCCTATAACGATAGGCAGAGTGTTAAATAAGTATTCCTGCTTAAACTAAGACGGAAGCTTGTGCTGCGCCCCTACAGAGAGAGCGTTTTAAACGTTAGCAGCATCTAGGATCTGCTCAGCAGGTAACTTAGAAGGCTTAGAGATTAAAACAATCAGCTTAGTGCTACGAAGGCCGCTGTTCAATCTACTTAAGCCTGCTGCCTTGCGAGAAAAAGGAGAATTTGATCTATAAAGGTTAGTCAGAGTAGCCTTGTTCCTCCTCTTCTCTCTAGGCGCCTTTTCAGGCACAAGAGGAGCAGGACGAATAGGCCTACGCGAGCCGCTTAAAGAGAGACTTAACTCTAGATTAGTAGAATGCTGAACAGAGCCACTAGGTGCAGCTTAAGCCGGTTAGGAAGAGGCAGCATAACTAGGACGAATCGATTTCTTGTTCACGCTAAGAGAGGTGTCGATATGACCTATTTAGTCATCGAAAGCGACCGGAGCGTTAAGATTAAAGCTAGCTAAGGTTAAAGCGCCCTTATTATCAAACAGCTTATTAAGCACATCAGTCTCACGACCGAAAGGCTTAGCCTGCTTACTACGCTCAGTTCCTAGAGGACTAGGGCTTAGGCTAGAAAGATCGCTAGCGGGCACTGTGGTCTTATCCTCCTCCTTATCATCTTAAACAGAGGCCTAGTGGGCAGACACCTTTAAAGGGGTTAAATCAGTCAAGAGCAACTTTCCATTAGGGCCTATTTTCCGACTAAAAGGATCCGAATAGAGTTGCAAAGGCGTAAGTAGCGCAGCTTTCCTTGCGCGCTTAGGAGTTAGATCAGATGCGGCAGTTTCAGATCAGTCGCGCTTGAAGCCGAACGGCTTATTATAACTAGCGATGTACTCACGGACCTCGTCTATAAGCTCATTTCGCCTATCAGTATACTTAGAAGTCTGCAAAAGATCAGTACAACGCTGCTACAATAAGATTAACGATCACTTACAGTCATAGTTGCTGTATTGCCTATAGCGTAGTCGTACAAAGCTATTATCTTAGTTATAAAGGGATTAATGCTATAGTACAATTAGTACGAGAGGTAACTAAAATAAGGTGAGAAACATGCCTTAGAATGCACTGCTTAGAGTTGCAGGCGGCGTAACGACCTAACTTGCTACCCTTATCAACACATTCGAGCTTGTTCTTAGTTAAGTTGCTTAACCACTTAAGGATGCAATTAGCGCAAGGGCTCTTGCAGGGTGCCCTAGCAACTAGCTTTAATAGAGTATCCGGGGCTAGATCGCTCTCCTTAGAAGCTAACTTCTGCTAATTAATTTGAGCTGAGGCGCGCGTGCCTTTCGAATCTAATGCCTTAGAGGACTGAGCGGCGCGAGCGTTCTCAAGGTTCTTCTTCTGCGCCGGAGTGGCTGTTTTTCCCTTTCGCTGCGAAACAGCTAAGTTAGCATAACTAATAGCCTAGAGTTTAAGGCGATCGCGATGCGGAGTACGCGCAAGGTACTTAATCACCTCTTAATCAGTAGGACTTACTAGAGCCATAGTTAGCAGATTGAATTCTTGAAGCTAGGTAGTAGGGTGTTAAAAGATCGTGAGGCGCGGGGCAAGGTGTTGATATCGCGCGCGCTAAGGCCAAACGCGCAAGTTAACTAATCTCTACGACAACGCAACAACAAACAGACGCTTACCAATTAAGCGATTAGAGCAGAGCAGGAGCAGAGTAATAGCTTATTCACATGCACACTGCGTGACGTCATCTTAATTAAACAGGACAATTAAGATGGGGGGTGTGTCGCAGTATTAATACACGAGAACAGTAAAGTACTAATCTACGTGACTGAGCTGACTAAGCTTAGGAAGTGGACTAACGTTTCTCTGTAATCTGTTTGTATATTTAAGCCAGCTCTTCTAATATATTAGAAGAGCAGTGATCAATACAATCTTTTCTCTTAAGTTTGCTTAGCCACAACATATATAGAATGCAGGACTAGCATAGTAATAGAATAATTCTTATATTACTAATAATCCTAATAAAGCTCTTTCTAGTAATATCTATAATATCTAGTTATAATGCAGAAAGAAGTAAATATATAGTAAGATACTAAGGAAAGTATATTAAAGAAGTAAACTTTAATAGCGCAGGTAAGAAGATAGAGTAAATAGAGAGAAAGAAAATATAATAGTTAAAGATAGTAAAGTTACGTACTAGACTATTACGTTAACAGTTCTAATAATTCTAACAGTACTAACTATTTTAACGAAGTTTTATTTTAAAGTATATTTAATAATAAATATAAATTTCTTAAATTAATTAACTCGCTAGCGACACAGTTAATTCTATAGTATTAATAGAAATAAATATTTAATAGATTTTTAGTTTTCCTAACGTTATTACGCTAGTGCAAGTAAGCGCGCTTAATATTATTAAGAAACTAAGAAAGAATCTAGCCTTACTTAAGTAAATTAGCTAAGATAGTAGTAATATTATTAGTAAGGTTAGCGCTAAGAGGCTAATTAAGAAGATAAGTAACTATAGAAATATTAGTAAACTTAACTCTAATAGAAGTAAGAAAAAGAACTTACTAGCTTTAAGTATAATATAAACTATAAGTAAGGTACGCTTCTTAGTTAAGAATACTAGAAGCTAAGAACCTTAGCTACTAGAAGAAGAGCCTCTTACTACTACTACTACTACTAAATCTATAACTACTATAACTAGAATAGGCAGAGATAGACCTATAAGTATAGTTAACGTAAGCTATAATCCTAATAGTATATAGAAAGATATTAAAGAAAGAGAAGAAATAGAGAAAAAGATAAGAAAGTAAGAAGTATAAAGAATAGAGAATATAGTAAAGACTAAGTATTTTATAGTTCTAAGAAGCATTTACTATAGCCTAGTATACTACTTATTAACTAACTTTATCTTAAAAGCTGCGCTACTATCTACGTTATAAGTAAGAGAAAGGCCTTAATACTAAGTCTACTAAACGCTTATTAGGCTTAGTTTAGTATTAGAGTTACTATAAGATTTATTAAGATAAATAGAATAAATATATCTAGCATATTTCTTTTAGAACTTAGGCTTACTAATGCAAAGTTGCAGAGTAAATAGAGTACTCTAGCTCTTAGAGCTAGAAACCTAAGATAGATATTAGAGCGTAATAGGTATTTCTTCTAAGATAAGTTCTTACTATAGCATAAGAAAATAATAGAGGCACTAGCGCTTTATATAAATTAATCTAAGTTCTACTTAGATGCACCTAGTAGAAGCTAGAAGAATTCTTACTTTAATTAGAAAGGTAGCTTAAGTTTCTTATTCTTAGTTCTACTTAGTAGACTCTATTAACTATTAGAGAGGCTTACTAGAAGTTTGCTGTTATTATAAAAAAAAGAGGCGTTAGGTAGAGCATAGTCTACGTTATTCTAGTAATTAGTTTAGCAGTTATAACTGCAGTTGTCTCTAATAGAAGCTAATAGTAAAGATATTAGGTAGAGCATAGTCTACGTTATTCTAGCAATTAGCTTAGTAGCTATAACTATAGTTATCTCTAATAGAAGCTAATAGTAAAGATATTAGGTAGAGTATAGTCTACGTTATTCTAGTAATTAGCTTAGCTAGCTATAACTATAGTTATCTCTAATAGAAGCTAATAGCGAAGGCGCTAGGCAGAGCATAGTCTATATTATTCTAGTAATTAGGTATTATATAGTCTACGTAGCCTTAGGCGTCTTATATACTATTATCTATAATAAGATTCTACTATTAGAGAGAAGAAAGCCTACTGCTAAAGTAGCTCTATCTTTAGTAATAGAGTAAGCAAACTTAGAGATAGTAATCTACTATATTAAGTTTAATAGATTAGAGTTATTAGGCCTAGTTCTATACTTATAATAAGCTTATAGCAAAATAGAAGTAAAAGATAGACTATAGAAAGTAAGCTTAAGAGAGCTAAGCTCTTATAAGTAGAGAAGATATATAGTAGAGTAACGTACGTTAGCGCAGAGCCTAAGCCTAATAGAATATTAGGCAAAGTATAAAAGTAGAAAAAGGCAGTTTAGAGGTTAATAACTTAATTAACTACTTTTGTATTAAGTATAATCTACTATAATAGTACTAGGCTTATCTACTCTTTAGTTTAGTTTTTATTAGGCATATTTACTAAGTTATCTAGAGTAAGCTTATATTATATATTACTAGCTAGTAATACGCACTAAATGCTGCTTTATATATAGTACTTATTAACTCTATACTAGATGCTTAGATATTTAAAAAGGCACTTATATCTTAACTTAAGGTCTTTCTAAGTAAGGTTACTACTATTTCTTTTAACTATAACTATAGTATAATTTCTAAGCTTATAGAGAGATAAGAACGTATAGCTTAAGCTCTTAAGATAGTAGAGATCTCTAATATAAGAAAGGCTTATAGAGTAGGCATATAGAAATAAAGTAAGAAGTTAAGCTCTATTAGGTGCTTATAATACTAATTATATAACCTCTTAAAGCTATTTAGCTAGCTAAGACTTAAAAAAGTTAATACTACTCTAGTTTATTAAAAGGAACTTCGCAAAATTAGTAAAAAGATAGACTTATATTGCGTAGTACTAAAGAAATTCTTATCTCTATAGTCTGCCTTTATTACCTTCGCTAATCTACTTACTGCTTATATAGTATGCTAAATAGTAATCTATATAAGCTTAGGTTATATAATATTCTATATAATGCCTTTGTTAGTAGATAATATTATATAGAGCAATATTAATATTACTTAGCAGGATAGAACCTTACGCACTATACTTTTAAATATGCTTATTATAGTAACAGCATCTATATGCGTTATTTTAGTTATATTAGTAGAACTTCTCTTCTAGATTATCTATATTATATAAGCAGTATCTTAGCTAAGCTAGATTAATAAACTTCTATAGTTCTTTCTAGGCCTACTTTAAGGTATATTGCCTTCTGCTCTAGTAGCTATTCTAATAAAAGAATTCGTTATTATACTTTAATACCTTATCTAAAAGCAGAGCATCTCTTCTAGAAGCTATATTAACTTTAAGATTTAAGACTATTACTTTTACTTTCTCTTTATCTAAGTTACTATTATAGTATCTTTATCTATAGAGCTTACTACTATTATAAATAAGATAATATATAGAGCTTCGCTAGCTATAACCTTAGCTAAGAATCTACTAAAAGTAAGTAATTACTTTCTTTTCTATATTCTCTTATAGAGTCTGTTAATTAGCGCTAACGCTCTATTACAGATAGATTATCTAGTTAGAAAGTTTATACTTAGTCTAATCTTTAATAAGTCTGTTACTTAGATAATAATAAGAAAAAGAGGCTAGAATATTAAGTAGAGCACTTTTATACTAGTTTTTACAAACCTCTTCTGCATTAGTAGGTACTAAATTTAAAATTACTTAGTCTTTACTAAAATATATAGGATTTCTCTATACTATTATATTGCTAATTATTATTTCTTTCTAGATTCTTATATTTAGCTTATTCTAGATAATCTACTCTAGATTAAGTATACTACTAACTAAATAAGATAGTAGAGAGCTCTTCTATCTTAAAGCTCTTAAATATCTCTTAATAAGCTTATATATAATGCAAGTCTATCTTATAGCTTTTTTTCTTCTTATATAAGACTTATAAGGCAAGGCTAAGTATATTAGATAAGCTTGCATTATAGTATTTGCTATAGAAATAACTATTATATATTATTACTTACTTTATAGAGTATTTAACCTCTTATTAAGCTTTTTCTCTACTATGCTTAAGAATACTCTAGCTAAAAAATTTAGCGCTATCTTCTTCTTTGCTTTATAAGGCTCTTATATTAAGTCTAATAATTAGTATCTCTAGAGATAACTATAGTTTTAGCTCTACTTAAGCATTATAGCTTAAGGCAGAGCTAAAAGAAGTAAATATATCTAATATAGACGTAATTATTAATAGTTTAGGCGATATATGCTTAAGATAGAAAATTATAAAAATAAAATTCACTTATCTAGTAATTACTATACTTTATAAGCAAGTTAAGCAAGCTGTTTACTATATTAAGATTAGCGTCTTTTCTTATAATAGAAGTTTTCTTAGAGAGAGATCTATCTAAAGACTAGTCTAATTTCTTATTAAGCTAGTTAAAATAATAGTTACTAAGCTATACTAGAATAAAAGATAGATTAGCGTTGCTTTTAGTAAGGCAGATAACTTACTTAGAAGAATAGCTTACTTAGAAGATACTTTAGAGTTTTATTCTATGCAAATATAGCAGTTAGCATTATTCTGTTATTATAAAGCATAAGTAATTAATTTATATATTATAACTATTATATATTATCTTAATTAGCCTCTAAAAATCATGCATATAACTTTAATCTGCTAATATATATTAGAACTATATTATAGTAGTTAATGCTTAAAAGTAATTTAAGAATTATTAGATAAATCTAGAGGCTTAGCACTAAGTAGTCTAAGCAGAAGACTAGATAGATAATAAGAGTAATTACTACTATGTATAAGTCTAA